GGAGAACGGGCGGGCGTGGGGGGGGGGGACGGGGGGGCGCCCGATCCTCGCACCTTTGGCTGCCAAACTGCTCCGAAGAACCTGACCCGCCGCGCCCTCTTCCCCGCCCTCCCAAGTGAACACCTCTTCTTCCCTCCAGGTCTGCTCCGTCGCCCGTCTGCGAAGTCTCTCCCTTGCCCCAGAAAACGATGCAGGGATCCTCCTTGGTACCCAAAGCGCAGGAAGGCACCTACCTGGCTCGGCGCGATGGAGTCCCCCCCCAGTCCCAGTCCTGGGCCCTTCCCCTCGGCAGGACAAAGGGCAGCCCCCACTGGCGCCTTGCCCCAGTCCTGGCGAGTCGAGTCCTCTTCCGGAGCTTTATATCCGCCTCCGATGGATGGCAGCGCCGGTAGGACAAGGGGAGCCGCGCGCGATGGGAAGGTGGAGATGGATATGCGCGGCGCGGGGAGCGCCCACCCAACGGCGTCCGCAGCTCCCGCCAAGCGCCTCGGCTCGACCTATTATCCTGTTCCCACTGCGGCGGGCTTTAAAAAAGAGGGAGAGAAAAGTGAGCTCTGGTGCCCTCTGCCGGCGCGCAGGGAGATGGTTGACGGCCGCGATTAGAAAACGCCGTCGCTCGAACTTCACGAGAGGCGGATTCTAGCCCCGAACTCAGAAAGCGCAATGAAACACCCGAGGGTTTTTCCTCCGCAGCCTGCCGGCCGATATTGCAAGTTGAGCCTCGGAAAGAAAGATAGAAAAGGAGGACTGTCCTCTGGGTGCCCAGAGAGACCAAGAAAATATTTTTTAAAGGGGAGGGGGGAAGTCTATACTCCGATTGAATTACTGGCTGTCTTCTTTTGGGGGGCTTGAATTAGTTGCTATAGTAGCCAAACGTTTGGGGTTTCTCAAAATATTTCAGTCCTAGACATTTCAAGGCATTTTGAAAATGGGATTCCTGACATACTTTAGGAAGCCCTGTCCGGAGGCTGCCTTGGAAATCTTTCCTTTAGGACTAAAAATCTGGAAGGGGGCTTGGACACAAAGCTCGGTGCTGGCTGGGATCCTAATTCATGCATCTCCAGGAGTGGTTGTGTGAGGGAGATGGTGGTTTCTAAATTAGACAGACGGGCAGACAGACAGATGTATATTCAGGCTCTGCTGGGCGTGAAAACTGGACATCATTGGCCTTATCATTGGCATATAACTTGATTCCACTATCAAAATCCTCTTTCAGTTATGATCAGGGAACCTGGTCTGAAAAGAAGTCACCTGAGCTCCAGGTACTGTGCATCCCATCCAGGGGTGAAATCCTTTTGAGTAGTTCGGAGAACTGGCAAATGCCACCTCTGGCTGGCCCCAGAGTAGGGTGGGAATAGAGATTTTCCAGTATCCTTCCCCTACCATGCCCACCAAACCATGCCCACAGAACCAGTAGTAAAAAATAATGAATTTCACCACTGATCCCACCTTAAAACATTTTGGAAGATCAAGCAGTTCCTTAGGCTGACTTCATAGGTTCTAACCAACATTTCATCCAACCAAGGTTGCACTCTCTTGGGATACTCAAGAGATAGATAAATAATAGAGATACAAAATAATCAACATTTGGCACTTGGCAATTGGCATGTATTTTCAATTTGGCTCATATTGGGTCATATGTGACTTTCCCAGCTGGCTTCAATGGGGAAAGCTGGATTTGCTTAACCATGTGATNTACCCACCTCGGCAGGATGGAAGGCTGAGTCAACCCTGAGCCGGTGAGATTTGAACAGCTGAACTGCCGAACTAGCAGTACAGCACTCTAACCACTGCGCCACCTCGGCTCCTAGATGTCCTAGATGTCCGTCCTATCTGGAACTCCACAATGTAACTTAGGCTCTGTGAGTCTACATTAAATCCATAAATTATGCGATCCATAGGAAAAAAACTCATAGAGGCATACAAAGCCACATACCTTATGAATTATGCAACGTGTGTCCTTTCCTGAATGACGTTGTGATGCGTGTGGCATTTCATGCACCCTTTGCCTTCCCCGGGGATGCCTATTATACGAGGTACCAACTTTTACTGATATCCCAAACTTCAATTAAACCGGAAAGGGATTCCTCCAAGTTACTTCACTAATGAAAACATTGGCTTGGTGTAATGGACTCCACCACCTTCTCTGCGTGTCGATTACGCCTCTCCTTCCTGACAGTAATTAAACCGAGGATGCAATAATTAAGGAATGAAGAAATTTGGGGGCATTTCTTACGGGCAAATGGAGGAGAATGTGTTTGGCAGAACTCTGCTGACTGCCTCTCGCCACAAGCTAATTAAAACCTAAGTGAAATAACAATAAAACTGCAACACGTCCTCCATTTAAAGGGTTGACCTTGCTTTCAGACAATTACGGCTGCGTCCCTCTCATCCCCACTTTCTGCCTCACTCGCAGACTCTGAGAGAGAGCGGGGTTTCAAACCAATCTTTCCTTGCCAGTTCCTTCATTTTTTTTAATGGTTTAATTCCAGTAGGAACGGCGATGCATGGAAGGATTCAGACGAGAAAAGGAGCAGCTCAGAGAGAAATTATTTCTGCCGAAAAGGAGGGGAAAAAAGAAGGAAAAAATTGCCGGGATCCCTTCAACACTCCTACTACGCTTACATTCCCATAATAGAACATATTAAAACCAGGTTAGTGGAAACCCCTAATGGCTCCGTTCACCCAATTTCCAAGTTTACTGCTAGCAGCAAACTTGTTTAATTGGGGTCGTATGCTTTATTTCATTGGGGTCATTAATGCTTCACTCTAATGTTGAGAATCCAGAAAAAAAGAATGAATTATTTATCCGTTAAGCGAGTTATAGGAATACAGCCACAATGGCATGGAGTTTCAAGGACTTGAGAGAGAGAGAGAGAGAGAGAGAGAGAGA